CCGGCCGCCCCTCTCTTTTCCCACCACCGTCACCGCCCCTCATTGCACACTACCACCTCCGTCCGTCCTGTTACTCTTCCTCTCACTCCCCGCCGACGAGAGCTGCTTACCTACGATGTTGGTATTTTTTTTTCTTGCGAAAATCCTTCATTCATTTCAGCCGTCCCGCCCATTCCTCCCTTTCCCGTAGATTTTGATTGCATTGTTTTAGGCCTGTTTTTTTCTTTCAAAGATGTATTACGTTAATTACATAGAGAATTTCAATAGGTTTGTAGTGAATATTAATTTTGTATTAGAAAGTGGATTTCAATTTGGTAAAATATGCTGGAAAAAAATGAATAAAAACCCATTTTTTTTGTAAAAAAAAACTGAAAAAATTAAAATAAATAAAAGATCGAAAAAATCCGATAAATTGAAAATAAAAAAAAAAATCAAAAAATCCATTTAAAAAAAATTAACTTTTTAAAAATAACCGAAAATAAAAAAAAATGGAAAAAAAAATTATACATAAAAATCCCAAAAAAAAATACCGATTAGAGTAATTTAAATATTCTGCTATAGTGGAGTTATCCAAAAAATATGATTAAAAATTGAATTTATCCCTCGGACGAATTGAAGGAAGGGGTTATCTCATATAACCCCATTATACAAAGGGAATGACTAAAACGAATCCCAATTTTTTCTCACTCCAATACCAAAAAAACTAAAAATTGAATAATAAATAGGTAATGACATACATATCATTAATGAAAATAAATACCATACGAATATTAAAAATCACATTTTTCTTCCTCCAATACCAAACACACAAAACCCCTCAAACGAGACACGGCCACGGGCCAGTTCGGGCCGGTTCCGGGCCGGTTCATACCGGTTCATGGTTCACATTTTCCGGAACCGGAACCGGCCCGTAATATGCACGGTTCGGCGGGCCGGGTCGGCCCGCCGGTTCGGGCCGGTTCCGGGTCGGCCCGGAAATTTTGAATTTTTTTTTATTTTTTGAAATATTTGATGAATAAGTAAATTAAAAGAAATACTTTTAAATAGAAAAAGGAAAAGGAAATAAATGAAAAGACTTGAACTTAATTTTAAATTCAAAATTTTAAAAACAATTTTTTGTTTTTTTTTTTTCCAACAATTGAAGAGAAATTCGGAAATGCAATACAATTTTTTTTGATTTTTTTTTTACTAACAATTGAAGAGAAATTCGAAAATGCAAAAGAAATTTTTTCTTTTTTTTTTGACTAAGAACCGAAGAGAAATTCGAGAATGCAAAAACTAAAGAGAGAATTGAACTTTACTAAACTTTGATATTGAAGAAGTAGAGAGAATTGTGAGTGAATTGGTGAGAAATTAGGTTGGGGTATGAGGGTATTTATAGGAAAAATTGGGGGGGAAAAAAATTCAAAAAAAGTAAATAACGGCCGGTTCACCGGGCCGGTTCACTAGCCGTTATTTGCTTTTTTTTTTTTTTTTTTTGAATTTTTTTTTTTAAAAAAAAAATCCGGGTGAACCGCCGGGCCGGCCCGGCAGTTCACGGTTCACCATTTCTTAGAACCGGGCCCGTCCCGGGTAGGACGGGCCGGTTCACGGGTCCGGGCCGGTTCACATGGTCAACGGGCCGGTTTGGGCCGTCAACGGGCCGGTTCCGGGCCCAAAACCGGCCCATTGCCATGTCTACCTCAAACCCATCTTCTTCTCCACAAATCCCTCAACATCGTCCTTCTTCTTCCTCACAACAAACCCTTCTAAAAAAATCTCAAACTAAAGAAATTAAAACCTCACACAACTTGTAAAATGGAGTCAAATGACAACAAAATGATAGTTTATGACCAAGGAGAACACATTACGGTAAGTATCGATGTCTTTTTTGAGCTTCGAATTCGATTTTGAAGTTTTTTATTTTTTGAAAGCCGCCGGTAATTTTCGACACATACAGATCAATTTTTTTGGTCAATTTTCGACACCAACGTGTCGAAAAATATATTTGGAAAAAAAAAAATTTTGACACATACCTGTCGAAATTTCGACAGGTTTTAATTTCTTTAGTTTTGAGATTTTTTAGAAGGATTTGTTGTGAGGAAGAAGAATGAAGAGGTTGATGGATTTGTGAAGAAGAAGATGAGTTTGAGAGGTTTTGTGCGTTTGATATTGAAGGAAGAAATATGAGATTTTTAATATTTGTATGGTATTTATTTTAATTAAGAGTATTTATGTCATTACCTATTTATGATTTAATTTTTATTTTTTTGGTATTGGAATGAGAAAAGTTTGGGATTCGTTTTAGTCATCCCCTTATACAAACTTAGGACATCTCCTATGGAATGGGGGAGGGATGGGGTGGGGGAAGGGCTGAGGTGTTTAGTGAGTAGGGGGTGGGGTTGAGGTGGCTGGGGGGCTCAATTGAACCCAGGGATAAGCCCAGGCTCTCGCGTGAATTTCACGTTTGCCAGCTTTTGTTCTTTTTTTCTTTTTTTTTTTTTTTTTTTTTTTTTTTTCTATTTTCCTTTTTCTTCTCTTTCCACATTAGTATTTTCTTTTTTCTTTTTTCTTTTTGTTTCTCTGTATATTTTCTTTATTTATTTTAATTCTTTTTTTTTTGTTTTTTGTTTCTTTCTTTTTTCTTTATTTATTTTCATTTTATTATTAGTTTCTTTTATTTTACTTTAGTTTTCTCATTTGTTTTTCTCTAATTCGATATTTTTAATTTAAAATAGTAATTTTATTGTAAATATTCTATTAATTATATTAACATTACGTGTTATTAATTATTTAATAACTTAATAATAGCACAACATAATTTAAAAAATCAAATACTCAAATTTATAGGTACACACTTAAATAAAACTATTACATAAATTTATAACTAAACACTTGAATTTATAAGATATTATTATTATTATTATTATTATTATTATTATTATTATTATTATTATTATTATTATTATTATTATTATTATTATTATTATTATTATTATTATTATATGGTGAAAGTAGTGATGGAAAAAATTGAAAGAAAGAAATTGATCACCTGAACAAAAAAATGAGTTGGAGTCGGGGTCGGGGTCGGGATCGGAGAGCCCCAGGAGAGCCGCCCCATGGACAGGAGATGCTCTATATATATATATATATATATATATATATATATATATATGGGATAATTTGACAAAACTCCCTCATTACACAAGTATCATTACAATAAGTCCAATTTTATTTTACATTTTCCAGATAAATCCAAAATAATTTTGTTTAATTAAAAACACTTAATTATCACCATTATACCCCTAATTAAGAAAAAAAAGTATATTTAATTCTGATATTAAAAGATATATAATATTTTTTTCCATTAAGGGATCCTAATAATTAGGGAATTAGTTAGCTATTTAATGACCATATTATCTCTATCCTATCTAATAACCTCCATTTTAATCGGCAAACTCAAGATTTAACACCAACCCACATGGGAATCACAAAAACGAAGCAAATAAAGAAGAACCCTTTAATCTCTTTTAGGGTTGTTATTGTTTGTTTAGCAACCGACAATGACCTCTTATTTTCTCACTCTCTACGTGTTTTTTCTCTCATTTTTCTCCGTTGGGAGCTTCAAAAATTCCAATATAATTGCAGAGATATAATACATGTTTCTGTTTTTATTCAGATTTTTTTATTTTATTTTAATGATTGTTGGTCATGGGAATTTGTAATTATACGGAGTGATTTTCATGTTACGTAGTTGTTATACATAGTGGTTTTCATGTTGTAACTGTTATATAGAGTGGTTTTCGTGTATATATAATTGTTTATACAAAGTGGTTTTTATGTTGACATAGTTGTTATACAGAGTGGTTTTCAAGTTTACATAGTTGTTATGCAGAGTGGTTTTCATGTTACATAGTTATTATACAGAGTGGTTTTCATGTTCATATAGTTGTTTTATACAGAGTGGTTTTCATGTTTATAAATACTGGTTTTTATGTAAAAAAACTGGAAAGAAAATAAAAAAAAACATTTTTTTTAAAAAAAATCGAACTTAAGAAAAAAAAAACCATGAAAAAACGAAAAATAAAAATAAAATCATTTTTTAAAATTAAAATAAAAAAATATGAAAAATATAAATAAGGAAAAAATAATTTAAAATAAAAAACCGAAAGGGTGTGACAGGGAGATAATTGGGGGATTGTGTAGGGAGAAAATAGAGGGATTTGCATAACTACCAAAAAAATAATGGATTTTTTAAAATAATATAATATGGTAAATTTTAGTAATATTAATTAGGGACATTTTGGATAATTCCACACATTTGGATTTATAATAAATATCAATTGAAAAAATAGATTTATCAAGAAGTCAAAATTGAATGAGGGGTGTTTGTCATATAACCCCTATATATATATATATATAAAGTAATTGTTGGTACAAAATAAGAGCCTGTTTGAATAAGGATGACCACATGCATCGTTAAAAATTATTATCTCGGTGACTTTGGTGTGGCTGCTGGCTGCATAATGCATGTTTAAAAATTATTATCTCGGTGACTTTGGTGTGGCTGCTGGCTGCATAATGTGCTGGTAGGTAACTGGCACACTACACTAGCATTTACTTCCTAAATAGTCACATTTCACTTTTCACAAAGATTAAGAAACTCAATTAATATATTTTGATTTTAGAAAATTATATAAAAATGACTAAAACAATCTTTAATAATATTAAAGATTTATAAGAGAAAATTAATAAGATTAAAACAAGAAAAATGCATTTAATGTAATATTGAAAATCTAAAGTAACAGATAATATAGAACAAAAATATTAAAAAAAAATGACAGATAAAGTGCATTTAATGCAAGAAAAAATTATAAAAATATTTATAAGGGAAAATTAATAAGATATAAACAAGAAAAATGCATTTAATGCAATATTGGAAATCTGAAGTAATAGATAATATAGAAGCAAAATATTTAAAAAAATAGACAGTTATTGTGGACCGGAAAAGGGAGTAATTGATTATTGTTAAAACCTTTCCTCTTCTATTTAACGAAAGAACAACACAAAAACATCTGCACTCAGTTCTCAATACTCAATAGCAGCACAAAAATGGCGGATTACTTACCTGAAGAAATCGTAATCAACATCCTCCAAAGGCTTCCCGTCGAAACCCTCCTCCGCTGCACTGCCGTCCGCAAATCATGGTACTCTCTCATCACCTCCCCCGAATTCATTTCCTCTCACTTAAAACTCGCCGCCGCCGCCGCCGACGAAACCCCTCTACTCCTGATACGCCGCCGTATCAGCAGCTCCGAGCGCTACGAGCTGCACTCCGACGGCGAGCCTCTCACCCGCGTATCTAAATTGAATTTCCCGTTCAGCAGCACGAATTCCTATTTCACAATCGTCGGCAGCTGTAACGGATTGCTCTGCATTTACGACGATCGAGTTGATTACACCGACACAATTATTCTGTGGAACCCATGTATTAAGAAATCAATCCTCCTCCCCGAACCAAACCTAATTCACAATTCATATGGTGGTTTCGCACAATCGTTTGGATTTGGGTTTGATGCAATTGCCGGTGATTACAAGGTGGTTAGGGTTTCTTGTGTGGATGATTTAGATCACCAAATTGAGCTTTACAAGTTGAGCACCGGCGCGTGGCAAGATATTAGTAGTCACTTGAAATTCGATCGGTGTTTCATCATCGATGACCGATCTCGTCAAGCCTATGTGAATGGAGCCACAAATTGGATCGCAAGTTGTCCCCATTCGTGTGATTTTATTGTGTTATTTGATATGAGTACAGAGGTGTTTGGGGAGATTAAACTGCCGATTGAGGTTTCGGAAACCGATCCGATTATAAGTAAAGATTTGATGGTTTTCGACGAACGTCTTGCTCTTGTATTGTGCAGTGATTCGGCGGTGGAGCCCACCTTTTGTGTTTGGGTGATGAAAGAATACGGTGTGGAGGAATCTTGGTGTAAACAACTCGTCTTTGAATTTCATATACTTGGAGCTATATTTATTCGGCCGTTGTGGGTGAGAAAATGCGGCAGAGTTATGGCGGTTTTGCAGGATGGGGGTTTGTATTCTTTCGATCTTAATGACGACGAAATTAAGGATCTTGGTGTGCATTGCTCGGGATATGAATATTATGAGCACTCTTTTCATGTAGATAGTTACATCAAAAGTTTGGTTCTTTTGGAGAGGGGCGCTTATTTTTCTGATTCGGTCACTTGCGACCAATTGATGCCGAATCGACAAATATATGACTGTGATTCTATCGGTAGCTGTGAAAGTGATTGACAGTAATCGGGCAATTTAGCCAGCTTGAAGGAACTCGGTGTAAAGTGTGGACGATAACAAATGTGGATCGTAGAACTGAAAGAGATGAGATGAAATTTTGTCTCTATATATGTTTTAATCTCGCTTTCTTTCTTTCTTTTTTTCTTGTTTGTTTTTAACAAGTATTAGTAGAAAAATTATATAATTATTTGCTGTTTAACCCTACTGTTTGTGAATATCTCTGTATCTGCAAGATTAGTTTTCTGGATTCTTTGCTACTGTATTGATTTCATTTGAGTTTCGATTTTATATTAACTTCTGATTAAGTAGCCAAAACAGAGAGATGCATATCACCATTGATCACTCTAATGTGGTAATATTTGTTTGCTAGTTCGAACGTTGTTATTTAGTTTTGTATGTTAACACCATCATGGTTGTCAAATCGTAAATCGAATCGAAAATCGTTTTGTCAAATTTGCGAATCGTAAATCGTAACGAATCGTAAATCGTAAGATTTATTAAATTTCATTAAAATATTAATATATTAAATAATGTACACATATTTATGAGACATTGTATAATATTAACAACAATATTTATATATATATATATATATATATATATATATATATATATATATATATATATATATATATATATATATATATATATATATATATATATATATATATATATATATATATATATATATATATTGTTGCATAGAAATCTACAATCAAACTACAAGGTTATATGATTAATATGCTAATATTTAAAATTTTATAGTAAATGGACTATACAAAAATTTAACACAATAAAAACAAAAAGTTTAATATCAAAAGAATTTCATTTAATTTGTAGTATTTGTCAATGCATGGCAATTGACGTGTGTCCGAGTAAATCAAATATAACATTGAAAAAAAGTAAGAATAAAACTCTCTTGAATATACCTGCTACTTTATAATGTTATTAGAGTTGCAAAGTACAATAAAAATATTATTAATTTAAAAAAAATACAATTGCAGATGAACAATATCAAAAGAAGAAAAAATAGTCATTATAAGATGTAAAGTGTTGGTATTACGAGGAATTATCATATATTATTTTATTTGTACTTAAAATCTAATATTTTAGCACAATTTTTAATTTTATTCTGAAAATATATTTTTTTGCTGAAAATTGTCCAAATCGTAAAAATCGTAAAAATCGTACAAATCGAATCGTAAATCGTACAAATCGAATGCAAATCGTACGATTTTTTAAGATTTACGATTTATTCAACGATTTGAATCGTGAAGGATTCAAATCGAATCGTACGATTCAAATCGTAAATCGTACGATTTTGATAACAATGAACACCATGTTGGATGGTGGAAGGCTGGTCGGTGGGCGGAAGGAGTGAGGAGACAATTTCAGTGGACCAAATTCAAAAATAAAAATGCTAATATGTGTCGCAATTGAACTATAAATCGGGTTTGGGAGGTGACGTGGTTTGAGGCGGGTAGAGGTGGTCTGAGACGGTCAAACCTTGGAGGTGGTCTGAGACGGTCAAACCTTGAAGGAGATGGTCAAACCTTGAAGGCCGGTCAAACTTTGGTGGCAATTCCACTTTACCCCCTTGTAGACACACGGCCACGGGTCGGGTTTGACCCGGACCCGGCCCGTTGACCATGGACCCGGACCCGGACCCGACCGAGTACGGGCTGGTTTTGGGTCCCGATTACTTTGACCTGGGACCCGACGGGTCTACCCGGCGGGGGGACCCGAGGGCCCGGACCGAAGACCCGACGGGTCAACCCGAGAATATCCGATATTTTGTCCAAAAATGCAGAAACTGGGGTTCGAACTCGGGGCGCCGGGTAGAATAAGGAGCACTTTACCAGCAGGCCAACCAATATGTTTGATTAAATATAGACAACAAATGTATATAATGCAAACCTGTGGCGTAAATGATAAATATGTTAAATAAATTATTAATTTTCATATTAATTATTATTAAATAATTTTAATTAAATAATTAACAAATGCAATATAAGAAAAATATATATATTCACAATTCAATACTGCAAAACATCTATTATTAATTAATATATCAATATAAGCTCCACTGTTGAAAAATATAAAGTATTGAATCAATTCAATATATAAACAAATGCGTTGACTCATTTAAAAATTGACTTATGTTATTAAAATCGATAGTGTGAAAAAATCGAATGAAAAATAAAATAATATGTTTATTTAAAAAAACAAATTATAACCCATTTCAATTAATTTAAGTCGATTAACCTCAATTGTTGACAATAACTTATTAATATTATTGAGTATTTTATCATAAGATAATTATTTATATAAATGGTGTTTAATTTAACAAAAATAGATTATATCCCATTTCAATTAATATTCTTACTTTAAAAATAACATTATATATGACTAGTATAATCAAAATATTATGATGTAATTTCTCTTTTAATAATTGATTTAATTTGTAAAAATCGTAGGAATTAAATTGTAGCCATATGATTTAATCGTTTTTTTACATATACATTTTATTCAAATATTAGAATCGAATCGTAAGATTTAAATGGATTAATCTAAAGTCCTTTTAATTTTGATATTATATTTGTTAATAATGTAATTAAAATGGTTTAATAATTATGAATATGAAAATTAACAATGCATTTAACATTATTTATTATAATCATTTCATACTGTTTTGTTTATGTTTATGTATATTTCTTGCAAGTAATTTCACAAATATTTATCTTGTCTCAGTGGTTTTGAATTCTTTTCAAGTGTGTTGTGACCCGGGTTCGAATTCCATCCATAACAATTTTGGACAAATTTTAAAAATCCGGTCCGGACCTGGACCCGGCCCGGAGCCGACCCGGAACCGGGTGGACCCCGGCCCGGACCTGGACCCGCCTTCCCGCGGGTCGGTTTCGGGTCCTCCAAAACTCGGACCCGGACCCGGCGGGTCTCACCCGGAACCGGACCCGACCCAACCCGGGGCCATTGTCTATCCCCTCGTACTCTTAATTTCGTCGATTTACCCCCTTGTACTTGTACAATTTCCCAATACAACCCTCTTTGCCAACTTTTTTCGATTTTGACTCTGACGCCATTTGGTCAAGAGTCAAAATATTGACGTAAATATTGAATTTTTTCGATTTTGACTCTCGAGATTAGAAAAGAGAAAGTTTCACACATTCATATGTTTTTTTTTTTTTGCACTGGGTGGAATCGATCGATTTTTGGGTCTTGATTTTTACTAAGTTAGGTGTTCAATTTGGGGATATCTTGGAAGGGAAAGTGGTGGGAGAAGTAGAAATGACAATATTGACGGAGGAGAAACGACGCGTTATAGGCAGTGGCAATTTTGTAATTTACATACTTGACCAAACGGCGTCAGAGTCAAAATTGACAAAAGTTGAAGGAAATGGCTATATTGGGAAATTGTACAAGTACAAGGGGATAAATAGGTGAAATTGAGAGTACGAGAGGGTAAAGTGATTCTCAGGCAGAGTACGAGGGGGTAAAGTGGAATTTACCCTAATTGTTATTGTTAAATAACGTAATAATGTATGCTTGCAATCTTCAAGATTAAATTTAAATTCAAAACATTTTTATTTTATTTTTATTTTATAAGAATTTTTATTGTATTATATATTATTACAATTAAACTTTTATTATGTTATTAGGATATATAAATGATGGAGACATAATTATATTTAAATATCTTTTTTTTTTATATATTTTGAGTATTTATAAATAATATCTAGAAATATATTATATTAAATTTTAAAAACTAATTTATTTTTTTGATTTATCGCAGATTAATCACCGTCGCACTAATTAATTGTGAGGTGGTGTTGTTAACCACAAATTTTTTCATCTGCAAAATATATAAATACAAGGCAAGAAAAATATAGGAAACAAATAAATTTATTATCAAAGGAAAGCGGATTACAATCTCCGTGAATTCCCCTAATTCTTCTCTCCTATTCTAATTTTGATTTAAGGGCTTAAAAGCTTGTTCTTGTATCGAACGAATGATTTCATATCACGAACACCTCGAATTCAAATATGTTATGATTTCGAGGTGGAGGTTCGAGACGTGAGCTTGAGAGCTCGGTACGTGTCTTTGTGAGTCTGATTTTACATGCATAAATGCATTCTTTTATAGACGCAAGCTAGGTTTCTTACCACAAGCTAGGGTTTCATGATTTGCAGCATGAGCCGGATATTTTAAAGCCCAAATATATTATGGACTTTAATTTGAAACCTAATTAATAATCAAAATAAATTGATTATTAATTAATAATTTATCTCAAAATTTTGATGTCTACATGTGCCTAACCACCTCCGACCAAATTTCTACTTCTTACAACCTTTAGTAATACCCCTCAAAATTTCTTTTATCTTTTAATGGTAATAAATTAAGTTTGTATTTCATCATTGACATACCCTCCTAGCATATGTTAACCCATACATATGGTGGCCCAATAAAATCTCAATATTCTGCCTATCATAAACAAATTTCAAGCCCTGCTCACTCCAAATCTCGAAATAGAATTTTATTAATAATAATTTTTTAAATATTCTTTTCTTTAATATTCTTTTTTTTTGGGACTATCTAAATCGTAAACAACTACAAATTTTGGTTGTGATTTGTTTTTTCTTTTATTATATTTTATTTGTTTCCGGCAAAATTACTAAATTGTAATTAACTACAAATTCCACTAATCAAGTACAAAATTCTAATATGACTACAATTTATAAAAAAAATAACTATAAAAACACCTCAATCCAATTACAAATATTAGCAACTGACTGCAAGCTACAATTTATAGTAATCCACTACAATTTATCGAAATCTACTATGAAAATAGCGAAATCAACTACAAATTCACTGAAACCAACTATTAGTTATCGAAATCAACTACAAACTCTAACCAAACGACTAAAAAAAACCCAATTCTAGCAAACCCTAACGCCGCCATGCAAAAACAACTGCAAATTCTGACCAAAATGACTATAATTTTAGACTGTACTAACATTCATGCGTTAGTCGAAAAAAACTACGAAAACAACCAACTAAGAAAATATTAAACCAACTACAAATACATCCAACCAAAATACCAAACCAACCAAAATACCAAACCCTAGCCTCGCCGTGTGAAAACCAGTACCGCCACCAAACTCTAATGCAATCAAAACCTAGATGGCAATCCGAACCCAAACCCCTAGAGCTGTCACGCAAAAATCCTAACGGCCCTCATGAAAAAACAACCTAAGCCGCCGTCAATC